AGATTACAGGATAGTTTTTTTCTGAAACCAAATTGTTTATTGGAGAGAGAATTTGGAAACAACGGCTGCGTTCATGGACCAGGCTCTAGCCATGGTCAGTGTAAGCATCGTGGTTCGCTAAATCAAACCACGGTGCTCCCACTGACCACGGCCAAACGTGAATCTGGGATTGCGGGATGAGAGACCCCGAAGGCCCAATCGGTTGCATCAGCATAAACGGGTCAGATGGAAATGCGGTTGTAATGAGATGGGTGGGGGGATACAAAATGTAGTAGTCCAGGTGATGGATGTGTTGGAAGAAATATCCTTCGGGATTCAGTTCCAAGTGGGGGAAAAGACACTGGAAACATGGAGGCTGTTTGGAAAGATGCTTTCACGATGGACAGGCCCCCATGGCTTGGAGCTTCAAAGTGAAAACGACCATCAAGTGCTTCAGGATGTTGGGTGAAGGAAAAGAAGGGCCAAGGGGCTGAGAGACCCTTCGTTATATACCTTCTGTTGGGCCCCACCTCCACGTTTCCGGTGTCTTTTCCCCGGCTTGGAACTGATATTTCTTCCAACAGATGGAAATGGAGCAAGGAGAGATTCAATCTGGAAATAAGGAGAAGTTTTCTGCCAGTGAGAGCAATCAACCCATGGAACAGAAGCTGCTTTCGGATGTTGTGGGAGCTTTTTCACTGGAAGCTTTAAAGAAAAGATTGGACTGCCATCTATCAGAAATAGTGTAGGGTCTCCTGCTGGAGGGAGGGGTGGGTTGGACTAGATGACCTACAACAGGGCTGTTAAACTTGATTTCATTGAGGGCTGCATCAGGGTTGGGTTTGATCTTGGAGGCCCAGAGTGGGTAGTGCCAGCTTGACATGGCTTGTGTTGGGGGCGCCTGTGGTGGCCCAAGCACTCTGCCAGCAAAACCAGGCTCCTGAACTCCATTTTGGGCTGCAATGGTCTCCTGCAACCTTCGGCCAGTGAAAATGGAGCTCGGGAGGTCCGTTTTCGCTGGCAGAGGCACTGCGGGCCAGTTCTTCACTCTTTCCAGGGCAGTCCCCTGGGCGAGCTCTAAGCACCCCATGGGCTGGATTTGCCCCTGGGCCTTGAGTTTGACACCCCTGACTTACAAGGTCCCTTCCAACTCTATTAATCTGAAGTAACCTTGTAAGGAAATCAAAAATTAAATATGGCTATTATGATTGATTATGTATTGCTTTTGGAAGAAAGAAAGAAAAAGAAAGGAAGGACAAAGATGTATATGTTCAAGATGACGAGGTTGGAAAATAAGGATGGCAAGTATTTGTGTAAAATATGTTTTCTTTGGAATAACATGGATGGTATTGACATCTCATATTTGTGAAAAACTGGCTTATGAACATACAGTATCACCATTTTGTCTTACTGCATCTGGCTTTAAGCAAGGTTTGTGAGTTATCTAAGATTGCCACCAGTACCATATTTAATAAATTGTTTCCTTGTTGAAATAAAATAGTTAATAAGCTATTAAACATTACTCTTTTTCATCTTGGTGATACATCACAACTGATGGAAACAAATTTCATTCAAAATTGAGATTTATTGCTATTTCAAACTGCTTTCTTTTTTAAAAAAAACTATTTCAGAGTTTTATTTTTGATTTACTCATCAAAGTTACTACAAACCATCAATGTATTATACAGAATACAGTATTAGAATACATTTGTAAAAAAGTTTATCCTTAACAAAACTATTATAACAGAATTTTTGAGCTTAATCATCCTCGTCTTCCTCTTCCTCCACTTCTTCTGCTTCCAGTGCCTCCCCTTGGGCAGCCTTGAGTGCCATCTCTTCTTCCACAGTTGGATCAAGGCCTTCAGTGACTTCAGGTCCAATAATATATTCAAGCTGCACTGGAGGTGGCAATGTAGGGTTGAAATTTTCTGGACTGTATTTGTGACCCCAGCCAATGTATATGTTATCAAATTTCCTAAAACAAAAAGCAGAAGACTCTAACATTATTAAAAATGCACATCTAATTAGTGATGCCTCTTTCCTCCAGCTCCTCCCCCATCTCACCCTAGGCAATGTATATCACTCTTTCCCAATCAAGTTGGGACTTCCAAGCCTCAGAATTTCTAGCTAACATGACCATGAAATGCTCCAGAATGGGAAAAATTGATCCCCTCTATATATATCTTACCAAGTTGTTTCCTTTGTCTATTCTGTGTATACCGCAGAACATCTATTCAAATTTGCTTCATTTCAGAGGAGTCCAGAAAATAGATGCATGATTATAGCTTTAAAAATACATAGAGCGGTATTCCCCTGCCTACACAATTGGCAGCAAAAAACATGTTTATTAGCGTACATCTAGTTTGGCCTTAGCGTGAACAAGTTGAGGAAAGTATGAAGAAAATGGCTTTGGGAACTCTGCAATCTCTTAATAATTTTTCCAGGCTAAATCATATGCCTGGGAAGGAGTTGAAATCCACAAGTCTTAAAGTTGCCAAGTGTTGGAGACCCCTGCACCTTAACCCATGGGGACTTTTTTTCCTGGACTTCTGTAGTCACTGGCTAGATGCAACCTATTTTGAAGGTTGGCTTCTCATTCCCACAGCAAATTCCATCCCGTTCTGTCCTGTTTTCAGATAGTTATCTTGCTGATGGGCAGAGAGTGAATCCCACGCTTCTTAATTTGTTTCTAACAGATCAGTTGTATAATTTATAGCTTGAAACAAAAAAGGACTAAAGGATGCATTGTATTATAGTCACATATACCAAACTGCCTGGCTTGATCCCAAATTTTGTTGTGGAAAAGATGAACGTTTACATTTCTCAGTAGATGCCACTGGCTTGATTTGAGTGAAAACTGTATAAAAACAGTGCCTGTTAGTCCTCTATAAATAAGTAAACCCACCATTGATTAAGATGGAAAATTACAAAACAGAGATTTTATAATTGGAAGTAATCACAACATTACATTGATCCTGATTGCCTACCTTCCAACAGCAAAGGAGTATGCTCCAGGCCACAAGTTAGCTTGAAGGACAGCAAGGGCATATTGAGGAACTAAATGTGTTGAAGCATCAGAGGACCATGGAGTGATGTTTTGAATATCTGTTAAGAACAAATTGATTTTGGGGTATCAGAAATATTTTGTACCAAATTATGGTGTTGGGATAAACTAACAGAAAAAGATCAGAAGCCATAGTCCTGTGTATAGAAAAATACGCCTTTATATTAAAAAGTTTAATTGTGTACCATGTGATAAATTGATTTAATAAAATCACTCCATGGTTGACCATGACCTGCTTTCTCACTGGCCAAAACATCCATGTTCCCAAAACTTAAGAAGAAAAGAGAACCAGCCAGGTGAGGTTTTTGCTATAGTACCTGCATCTTCAGAGAGGGGTGTGAGAAGAGGAGGTCCCGTTTCTTGTAACTCTTCTGGCTCTTCCTGTTTTTCTTCTTCATCTTCCTCTTCCTCCTCTTCCTCTGATTTTTGATAGGGATTAATCCAGGTACAGCGCCCCTGCACCCAAAGGAACCAGAGTCAGCGAGGTCAATGACTTGTTTCATTTGCCTACAAGGCCACATATATATGCCACACTTCTCTCCACTCGATGTCCCCAGTGCCTTATCTTAGCTCTCCTTAGTCAGGCTTATTCACCTTCAGTAAGCTGCCTGGCATTTTAAAATTGTGCCATACCTGAATGTATGGATCATTTTGGGGGCATATACCCACCAGACTGTCAATTATTTGGAAGCCTGCCCTCACAAACAAACAAATCTCCACACCACAAGCCAAGCAAACACCTGGGCACAAACAGACCCCACCCCCAATACCTCCAGCTCAAACACACCCCTACCAGGCACCCAGATGAAACCTAGCTTCCTAATAAATGATAGCCTTCCATTTACTCGAAGCCAAGCTGCACTAAAAGCCTCCAATACAGGACACATAATGTTGCCAGCCAATCAAGACAAAAAAACGCTACAAAACAGAAGATATTAGAAACATCAATCAAGCAGAGCACAGCAAACTCCAAGACCAATAAACACAGAGCAAGACTCCCAACCAATCAGGATGAAAAAAAAAACCATTCTAACACAGCAGTAGGCTAGCACCAAATTTAAAACAGAAATGGTTGTGAAAGCCTGACTCACGGACGAACACAATACAGAAGCCTGATGATGACAGATGAGATTCTGCCGAAACGTCGCTACAACTTTAAAAGCATAACTATAATGACGTGGGAAAATACCCGAACAAAGCTGAATACCATACATATATATACAGTATATATACTAGATAGATAGATGGCATTCAGCTTTGTTCGGGTATTTTCCCACATCATTATAGTTGTGCTTTTAAAGTTGTAGCAACGTTTCAGCAGAATCTCATCTGCCATCATCAGGCTTCTGTATTGTGTTCGTCTGTGAGTCAGACTTTCACAGCCGTTTCTGTTTTAAATTTGGGGCTAGCCTACTGCTGTGCCAGAATGGTTTTTTCTTAATCCTGATTGGTTGGGACCAATCAGACCAAGACTCCCAACCAATCAGGATGAAGAAAACATTCTGGCACAACATATGGTCTCACAAGGGGTCTGCGGATCTCATCTCGGTACCTAATGGCAGTCCGGTTACCTCTGGCAGGCACATGGATGGCTGTGCGGCCCCCTAAAGAAATGCCACCCCACACCATTACTGACCCACTGCCAAACCGGTCATGCGGGCAGCAGAACATTCTCCACAGGGTATCCAGACCCTGTCACATCTGTCACATATGCTCAGTGTGAACCTGTTTTCATCTGTGAAGAGCACAGGGCGCCAGTGGCGAATTTGCCAATCTTGGTGTTCTCTGGCAAATGCCAAATGTCCTGCACGGTGTTGGGCTGTAAGCACAACCCCCACCTGTGAATGTCAGACCCCTCATGGAGTCTGTTTCTCACTGTTTGAGCAGCCACATGCACACATTTGTGGCTCGCTGGAGGTCATTTTGCAGGGCTCTGGCAGTGCTCTTCCTGTCCCTCCATGCACAAAGGCGGAGGTAGCGGTCCTGATGATGGGTTGTTGCCCTCCTACAGCCTCCTCCATGTCTCCTGATGTACTGGCCTGTCTCCTGGTAGCGCCTCCATGCTCTGGACACTACACTGACAGACACAGCAAAGCTTCTTGCCACCGCTCGCATTGATGTACCATCCTGGATGAGCTGCACTACCTGAGCCATTTGTGTGGGTTGTAGACTCCGTCTCATGCTACCACTAGAGTGAAAGCACCGCCAGCATTTAAAAGTGACCAAACCATCAGCCAGAAAGCATAGGAACTGAGAAGTGGTCTGTGGTCACCACCTGCAGAACGACTCCTTTATTGGGGATGTCTTGCTAACTGCCTCTGCTTTCCACCTGTTGTCTATTCCATTTGCACAACAGTATGTGAAATTGATTGTCAATCAGTGTTGCTACCTAAGTGAACAGTTTGATTTCACAGAAGTGTGATTGACTTGGGAGTTAAATTGTGTTGTTTAAGTGTTCCCTTTATTTTTTTGAGCAGCGTACATATACTATACATACATACATACATACATACATACATACATACATACATAATGTAATATCTACATTAACTGCATTATATATTACTACATTTAACTACATTAAAGATAATTATGTAAAATCATCATACGAATGTACAATTATTATCCTATTGCCATCATTCTGATAATATTTTCATTGCTTTCAGAACAGGCATAGTCAATTTCCAGGAACATCCATATATATCTAATCCCAGAGGTTAAATAAACTATACAGCATGGTTCAATAAAGTAAAGCTGATTGTCTTGTCCTTATTTCCTATCAGAATCTTACACCTGTTTCATGTTATTAGCTGTGTAATGCAGGTAACAGGTGAGAGGCAGATTACATCAATAGAAAGATCTATATACATAAATACTGACAGATTAGGGAACCGGTGGCTTTTTGACAAAAGTATATTGTGTTATTTCCAGCATTATACCATTTCTGATGCTTTTTAGTATGAACGCTTGGAGAACACAAACAGAAAACAGGTTATTTTGAATTAGTTTTCTTATGTTTTTATTGATCATGTAAAACACTTACATTATCAGGGAGGCCACCACCAATAAAGCTTTCTATCCTTGTTCATTAATTTTAATGATGGGAAAAATTACGGAAGATGTTTTTTTTTTCTGAAATGTGTTAAGAAAATAAAAATTACTAGAGTTGTAATTGATAGCACTAAAGCTGTTCTGGGGTTCTGATTTTTTTTTTTTTTGACACCACTTAGCAACAAGTGCAGCTTTTGTTAAGCATACCTGTTTTAAAATATTCTGTACATGATGCACCCAGTTGGAAAGGGTATCCAACATCTCTGGCACAGGAATGGGTTCAAAGTCAGGATTTTCTTCATAATTGTCTCTTCCAGCTCCGCCTTCTTCTTCTTCTTCGTCTCCTTCTTCTTCTCCAAACTGATAAAACCCGAGTGGACTGACCTGTGTTGCCGCTGAAATGCGGGCAATCTGAGCCCTCAGATAATTAGCTTCATTGCCTGGGAAAGGTGGATAGCACACAACGGCAGCATCTAACTTTCCCACTAAGAACTTCTTAATTTTCCTGGCGTTCACGATCTGAGCTGGAGTCACCTGGGGTAATTTCGTCCAAGGTTTGCCTGGTTCATTGCAAACATAATAAGTGTATTTATTAGCACCGGTCCGATAATCTTCTTTTGGGATTACGGGTGGTGGCTTGTAGTTGGGTTTTGGTGGCTCATCTTTTTCTTCTTCATCTTCTTCATCTTCATCCCTGGCCTCAATTCCCTCTTTTAGTCCTTCCTCGGCAGTTTCTTCTTCCTCTGCTTCTTCCTCTTCTTCTCCTTCACGGAATTCAACTTCAGCTACAATATAGTTGGCTTCAATACCTAAGAGTTTGCCCCAGAAGCGACATGTTTGGATTGGATGAGTGGCAACCAGTTGTTTGAGGGCAAGGAATATGTGATAGTATTCTTCTGAGCTCAAACCAATTCCAGCCTGTTCAAAATAGTAAGCTGTCTCCATTACATTGGGTAGAGGAGTTTCTGGCTAAAGAGGAAAACCTTCAATTAGGAAGCATAATAATGGAATAGTGTTTCACTATATATATAAACATTTATTCCTACTGGAGCAATCCTAAACATACTTATAATTTAACACTGAATTTAATAGGATTCACTCACAAGTAATACATAGCCTTGACATTTTCCTCCCATGTAATGTTCATTGCAGTGAATAGTCTGAAAAATTACTGCGTGCACGAGTACAATGCTACCTGAATATAGTCTACTACCTGAATATAGGGTTAGTTGGAGTAGCAGATAACCTGCTTTTGATCAAGCTAACCAGCATGGTACAAACATACCAAATAGTTTATGAAACTTATGATCAACCCATGGTACAAATTCTATCAAATGGTTGATGAAAATTATGCAGAAAATCCTACATCTATCTCCATCCCTAATCATTTATGTAATATATCTGTGAATGAATATGCATCTGCTTGAGATGTACTGATACTTGACTTACAATTGTTCATGTAGTGACCGTTTGAAGTTATAACAGCACTGGAAAAAAGTGACTTATGACCATTCTTCACACCTAAGATCATTGTAGCGTCCTGTAGTCACATGATCAAAATTTGGATGCTTGGCAATTGGTTCATATTTATGATGGTTGATTTATTATGCCTGCAGTGTCTTGGGGTCATGTGACCACCTTCTGCAATCCCCTGACAAAGTCAATAGGGAAGCTAGATTGTTTTAACAACTGTGTTACTAATTTAACAACTCCAGTGATTCACTTAACAACAGTAAAATGGGGGAAAACTCACTTAACAAATGTCTCAATTAACAATGGAAATTTTGTAATGTAATAGACTAGATAATTTTGTAACAAAAATTTAATAGATTGATATAAAATATAATATAGACATATATAACCATTAGATGAAAGTGTAACATAAATTTTAAAATAAAATTTGGAATATCTCGTATAAAAT